GTGCATGCCTGAAGGAGCCACAGAAAGGTGATGCCCCGTCGCCTAGGCCATGGAAAATTTGTTTGTGCTAAGCTAACGTGGAATAGCTTCATGTTCTGCAGCATGCTGGACGCTGTTCATGGAAAGATTATTAAGGACGATTTACCATGGAACGTCTGCCTGAGATGCAGGTTTGGACACCACAACATTCGTGGGAGACAATCGGGTGGTCCTGTTTGGTGGTGCCACAGGGATTCCGGCCGAAGCCCAAGCCATTAAGCCATTCGCAGCTTGCACCGAATGTTGGGGCTTGCATGGGCTTGCAATGGCTTGCACCAAGGTCGATACACCATTACTGCAGATGCCTTCATGCTAAATGCCCGAAGCCAAATGCCAGCACACAAGCGCAGCTTTGCGCTGCTCTATGCCGTGTATTAGGTGTCCAGCAATACCTGGTCCCGTGTTCAAGCAGGAGGCCAGCAAAGGTGTTGAACAGCATTGCTTGTGCACTTCCCGTTGGCAAGCGTACATTCTGGGCTCTTCTTGCAGTGACAGGAACCTTGCCCTTTGCCCGGGCAGCTCATGCGGCGGCGTGTGTAGATCATTCACAAATGGTGACTGGGCGTTTTGAGACATGTGTCCTGCTGGCAGTGGGGGCCGGTGGTGGTGATGAGGTGATCTGCGGCGGCGCCACAGGGGGAGGCAGCTTGTCGCAGCTCGGCCGGAGAAAACAGCGGCTCAATTCATGACACGATTTTGGTTGCCCAACGCAGATCCGACGAGCTGTACTTACTGGACATCCGCAACGAGGCTGGCGTCGTTTGCACGCTGTTTCGCGGCATGTGTAATGTGAAAAATGTAAGGAGACTTCTCAGTGGATGTCAGTTCCCGTGGTGAGAACAACCCCTGGGCGAAGATACGGCCCTCGTGCCCAGCTGTGCTGATTCTGTCAGGCTTCCCTGTGCAGTCCAAGGCCACACCATGATCTTCAGCAAGCTGCTGTTGATTGTCTTCGGTGGTAACAGCGGCCAACAGGCCCTTGTAATGTTGATCCCCCCAAACAAAAAGGGCAGCCTCTATAATCAAAAGGCCTTAAAGCGAATTGAGGGTCTAGGGGATCCTATATGGCTCCTTTTAAACTTTCGAAGGGGGGGGAAGGGGGATCCTTCGGATTTGTTCAATTCATGAGGACTTGTTCAGTTTAGCTTGCAAGAGAATAGGAAGGGCAAGGTCCTCGCCCTTTATGTCCAATGGCGGCTTTGAAAACCTATCAAAAGCAATCGCAATCGCAATCTAGCTGAAATTCTACAAAATCTGGGTAAGATAAAGTAAGATCAATTAGAAAATCTAGTTAAAGACCATTCAAAACAAGTTAAAGACCATTCAAAACAAATTATAATGGCCTTGCCATGTCCGGCTTGAAACCTTAAAGCATTTTGGCCTCGTCAAAACCTTCCCCAGGTTTTTTCCGGCTGGATTTTTTTCCTTTAGTGGGACCCCCCAGATCGAATACGGGGTCCAGAATTCTTGTGTGACAATCTCTACATGATTGGGTACCCCCGCAATGGTCGGGATTCAACTTGTAGTAAAATGGTGATGCGGACTTTGTGCACAGGCGGGGTGCGACATCTGGATATTGGACGTGGAGCGCTCGCCATTCCAGTGGCAAGAGGCCTTTTGCAGAAGCCCAAAGATGCTACTGCCACAGACCGTTGGAACATATTCAGACCTGCATCCATCCACAACGTCAGTTCTGCGCCAGGTAGCTGAGCTGTTATGGGAAAGCGTGGGCCCCTTCCGCGCGTCTACCATTCAGCCGAGGCAGGGAGGGTGTAGCGGGTAGCGTTCAGCAAAGATGCCTAAGCAGCTGTTTCTTGCAGGTGTGTCGTGATGGGCGGGTCGCTGGCATGATGGTCTTTTTTGGCGGCCAGACTGCTGAGAACAAGTCGCTTAAGGAGCGTTTGCCATCCTCTGCCCAAAGGGCTGCGCCGTGATGAGACTGTGTTCGTAAGGACACCTGGGGCTTGCGACAGCATCAGGATGGGCGTTGGGACTGGGTGGAGGCGGATGGCTGGCACTGTAGCAACCTGTGTTATGAAAAGATATCAGAGGCAGACTCAAGATCCAGCTGTTTGGCACCAGGCCCCCGCTACGCGCAGCGCTCCTCCAGAACCTAGGCCAGCATGGGGCGGCAGCTGGTAGAGATGACACGAGTATTAGCAGTCATGGTAGCAGCAGTCGTAGCAGCTCTATAACTGGCAATCATCGTTGTGGTAGAGATCATGTTGCATGATTGGATTGAAGTTGATGCTAAAGAAAGCCGCATCGGCAATGCTTGGGCCCCCCGAAGGTTTCAGCATTCCTGCATATTCCTGGATTCCAAGCTGCTGATTGTCGGCGGGCGTGGGCCAGAGGTCAACAAGCTACAACCTCAGCATCAACTGGTAAGATATCAGTTCCGTAGGCCTTTTCATGATGTCCAAGCAGTTTTACTGTTATCAAGATTTCGCTCTGCTTGTCATCATGGCTGCAGACCACTGTATCAACTTGCAGGTCGGTTCTACAAATGAGTCCGAAGCTGATCAAGACTTTAGGATTCTGCCCACCGCGGTCTATGACACTGAGACTTGCGAGTGGCACAAGCTATGCAGTCTCCAGAGATTTCGACACTCCTCTTGGGGTGCCCCCGCCACGTGTTGACTGAAGCACCTAGCACATGTGCTGCATAGGAGCTGCGCTCCGCGCAGTAAAACATCTCCGCTGGGATTGCTTGTTGAATGTCATCCCGCGCTACCTTTGGAAACCCTGCCTGGCAAACGAGAGCCTGCCTGCACGGAGCACTGGTTGCGATGCGTTGCTTTCCCCTTGTTGTTAGCTGCACATGGATGATTTCCTGTTCTTCGTACTATAACATTTACGAGCCTGCATCGTGTGGGATGCGGAGGAAATTGGCATTTCAACACCTTGGCACCCTTACTCCGACAATCTACATCTCCTGTACACGTCTGGAAGGCATGCGCACGCTGCTGTTCTCATACGGGGGCTTTGACCACAAAAGCCCGTGGAGCACTCAGAAGTCGCATCTGCTGGCCCTGCCGCATCCAAGCGCATGTGACCTGCGCTTTGAGGTCAGCACCGGCTTCAGATCTGCAGGCGTGGAGAATTGCGAGATTCTGTGAGACCCGTCCTTCGTTTTCTACTCAAAAGCTGAAGTGGCTGTAGGTCATGGACATTGAAACAGCTATTGCGGCATCCCAATGCAGTGTGGTTGCGGCTGCCTAGGAATCAGCTAGGTCCGATAGTTCCTCAAAACATACCAGGGTGGCGGATTCACCTACCCGATGTACAGCTGACTTTTTGATAGCAGCAGCAGCGTGAACGCAACCTGCTCAATGTCAGCGGGTGCATTCGTTCAAATGGAGCTTCGCGAGCATGGCTTGGCGCGCGACGAAGTTGCCAGTGCTCGGCTAATGCTTACAAGGTCTTCTTCACAAAAAAATCAAGACGCTGCGTAGCATTGCTCCCAAGCAAGACATGACAGTCGTGACTGTCGGGTTGTATTCAGCTTGCCCTGCTGGAGAGGACATGCTCAATTTCGGCTCAGAAAGCACTAGCCACTGAAGAATGCGTAGCTTTGCTTTTCAGGAAAGCTTTGGTGCGGTGAGCTTACGTTGACAATGCGTAGCCCTCCTGAGAGGACAAATCATGAAACATCGATCC